ATATGACACAGTACTATAATTCTATTTAGATTTGTTATTTTATTAGACCAATAATTATTATAGAGCGTATTGTAAGAGTTGGGTAATGATGAGACAAATTGTCTAATCCTCGTCGTGTAGACGACTAAATATTTGCAAGCCTTCCATCTGTAGCACGCACTGATGACGTATGTATTCAAAAATAGCTCTCAATCAAATCCACGCAGCAGCCGAATTTAAACACGTGAAGACTATGAAGCTAAAACTGTGAAAATATTAATCTCGATCGTTATGCCCCTGTAGAGCCTAAACCACTTAGTCTGCGCCATTCGCTAACACGGTACGGAATTCTCACTACGTTTGCACTAGCGGGCAGTGTGTGCAGCATTCCTGATTGCACTGCTGGTCATCCTATCGTTGAAATCGAATCAAAGCGCGTACAATTGATTTGTATAACTTTTTTTGGAGGGGGAGTTTAAAACTAACGATTGCGTTAATTAATCAGAGTCGTACATTCCAATTATGTAACGTTACTTTAATTATGGCGGTCGCTGCCCGAACCCTAACGATATCCCACTTCTGACACCATGTAAGATGCACATGGTCCAAAACACAAAGCCGACAACATCTATTCTGGGTCCGCACATCTTTATTTAGGCGCAAAAGAAGAACCGCAGGCCGAGGCGTTAGATTAGTGAAATATGTGCTAGTCATAATACAACATGGCAAGTTCTACACGTGCAAGATGGCGTCGCAAAAAGGCCGCTGGCGGATCCAGTATTTTACCCAAAACATATATGCAGGCATTAAAAACGTCAATAACGTATATATATACAAGCTCACAAAATCAGTGAATACAAATAATAACTAGAAAGGGCATTCTCCCCAAGATGTGTAAGTATACGAAATTTGGTCGCGCTAGGTCAATTAGGGGCTGAGTTATAGAGCGGAAAGGAAATATGATCAATGTCAAGGTAAAGGTCAAATAAAGGTCGTAGTGACCTGGTTTTTGGTACGCTGCGCACCTTCTCCCCAAGATGTGTAAGTAGACCATGTTTGGTCACGCTGGGTCAATTAGGGGTCGAGTTATAGAACAGAAGGGAAAGTGTCTGCGGCGGCGGCGGCGGCGGCTGGACAGACATGAAACTATAGTATCCCCGCCGACTTCGTCGCGGGGGATACAATAATATAATAATATTCTGACTTCCAAACTAGAAAATAATACTGTTCTATAGCAAACATAATAATACCACTGCGATGGCTCAATGGTTGAGTGCTCGCCTCGTATGTGGAAGGTCGGGGGTTCAACTCCCGGCCGGGTCATACCAAAGACTTGAAAAATGATACACACGGCTTTTCTGCTTAGCATTCAGCAAATAGAGATAGAGTGTGACAAGTTAACTCGCAGTGCTACCAGTGGACTAACCCCCTACTGTATTATTTACTGTGAAAGCAGCTGCGGAGCCTCAGGGTTACTGAAACGGAGATAGGCACCGCCCTATACGCCATGATGTAGCTATGCACTATGCGTATGAAGGCGCGGGAAGGATTTAACTTTAATAGCAAACATAATACACAACTGGTATCCACTCTGAGCTAATTCAGTGGCCTAATAGGAAGTGGCTATTCTTACGACCAGTCGTAAGAATTATTTATGGACTATTCTTACGACATGCAACGCGCATGCGCATGCGTTGCGTATGTCGTTATACACCATAGATTGTTTTTGTAAGATATAATACGTATATAAGGAAATTGAGTCGGTTTATAGTTAGTGTTATGGTTAGGGTTAGGGAGTAGGCGTAGGCTACTCCCTAAACTAGCATTATATTACTATATAGACTATTATGCGCATGCGCGTTGCATGGCGTAAGAATAGCTAGTCCATAAATAATTCTCACGACTGGCCGTAACAACAGCCACGGCCAACATAATAACCAATCATTCACCACTACACTACAGTCTAGAGTCTACAGTAAGTTAGCTCTAGTACTAGTAGCAGGCCCGTAGCCAGGGGGGGTTCGGGGGGTTCGAACGAACCACCCCCACAAGCAAAAAATAATAATTTATGAAAATTTGCAAGAATTTCACCTCAGGTCGCTCCATTTTAGTGTAATAATTGCAAAATCTCCATCGTGCGGGAGGGTGAACAGTGAACACCCCTCTGCATACTGCTATGACAAAGCATTATATTGTATAGAGTTATTGTGGACATTTGGCAACTAGCCGATACCTGTGGATCTGTGGAGATGGAATGTGGGCATGCACATTCCAATGGAAATAACATTATATATGATCACAATACATAATCAAGGTTTTGGACAAATCTGCCAACACTATTTCTCAGTTATACTATAGCCTCACCACTATCTAACACACACATTTCAGTGCTGCCACTCAGGTTATTACAAAAAAAGTAAAATATTTGTCCAGAAAAAAATATCAAAATTGCCTCTAAAAGTATAAATTTGTATCAACCTACTGAGATTTGTTACCTTATACCTTATTACCGAATACATTATAGCCTGTGCAGCATGTAAACAAGCTTCAGGAATGATGTGTGCAATGTCATGAGGAGTTATCTCTTGAATTCTCAGTTTGGAATATTTCAATGCCGTTTCCCTTGGCCAGAAAGGTCTGTAAGGTGCAAAATTTTTGTGTGGTGTGTTTGTGTGTTGCGAGGTCCTAGCACAGTGAGCAGTGCATGTGCTTGGCCTGCTAGGGGGGTCCAGAAATCTTTTGAAAAAATGGTGCAATTTGGTGCATTCTAAGCTATTCTGGACACATTGTATGACTCTTGATTCTCTTTTTCAAGTTATCAAAAGTTTCGTCAGTGAAGCGGTGTTTTGGACAAATTTCTGTGTGGCGATTGAGAATTTGAGCAATGCGGCCCCCTCGCTCGTGTCAATGCAGGGGAAACACTGCAATGGTCTGTCATTTGGTCACTGACGGCAGAGAGCTGAGAGCAAAAACACTCCACTGAACAGAGCACACATCACTCCTGCAACAAGACTAGCAAAGCACATCTTTAATCTCATCAAATACAGTGTACCTAAATGTAAGTCCGAAGAGTTTTGACCATCTTTGGCAATAAAAAGTATTAAAAGTATTTATGCATAAAAAAAGTATGAAAAAAGTATATTTAAAAAAGTATATATAAAAGTTTAAAAAGTATAAAGTGGCAGCACTGACATTTTGACAATAAAAAACTAACTGAGTAAATAGTTTACCGAAAGCATTAAAAGGATTTTAGGGATATGTGTTAAATAACCAAAACTAATAACCAAAAACTAATATAATGCATGGAATTAGATAGAAATGGAGGGCTTGAAGCATGTACGTGAACACACACATGCAGTGCCTCGTAAATAAACAAATTTTATTTTGAGTTATTTTACTCACCTGTATGCTTGTATATATCTAAAGGTAGGATTAGGGAAAGCATGGCATTGCGCTAACTCCACTGAATAACCTATACATGTGTCCATGCTGTTCTACTAATGTTTATCAATAGTGACCTGCAAAATAGAGAACATGATGCCTCCACGATATTGGCAAGAAAAAGATGTGGATGGTTGCATGGTTTACTCAACAGATACCTCACATGAAGTACAAACCAGTAGTGTACGTGATCATTAAGTACAGCTTTAGACTGCACAGAAATTCGCATTTGTCTGAGAAAGATAACCACGCCTGTGCGATAGAAATCATAGCATTGCTGGTGGGTCAAGTGCAAACTGTCTTTTCCCCACGTTACATCTTACTATAATTTGGCGAATGTTGTATGTATGTTAATGAAAGGCTCCGTCAGTTTGGATCCAAATAGC